CAGTGGAGTATCTTAGATGGCCGCTCACAGGCTTTTAAGACCCCAGACACTACTCACCAAGGTAGAATGTAGAGCATTGTCTTTATGGAGCTGACATTTTTAACCCCCATATCATATTAGTTGTGATCAGTCACATTGAGGGGCTGGAAGGTTTTTGTTTTTTAACCTAAGCTTATAGTAATTTTTGGCTAAAGAGGTAAAAATGGCAAGACCCAGAGGTTGGTGTTAGTTTTTTCATTTGTCCTCATAAAAGATATGATGGCTCGTAATGTTACAATGGAACCGTTTTCAGGTCTTTGAAAAATTCCATGAGTTTTTGTTCAAAGAGACATGCCTGATGTGGATTGCCTACACAGCAGTCTGTCCTGTGTGCCATATGGTAGAGGAAATGCTTGCAGTTGTTACTTATCAGTGGTTCTCAGCCAGCGGCAACTTTGCCCCTCAGGTGACATTGAACAGGGTCTGGAGACATTTTGGTTGTTACAGCCTGGGGAAGTGGGGGTGGTGCTACTGGCATCTAGTGGGCAGAGGCCAGGATGCTGCTAAATATCCTTCAAAGTGGGGCATACCCCCACAAGATAGAGTTATCTGGCCAGATCATGTCACGGTTGAGAAACCCTGTCATAGAGAAACAGAGCTCTTTTCAAACTAAGTGACTGTGTATGGGATGAAGAGGTAAGAAATTTTAAATCACTGAGTACTTTGGAGAGTGAGTAGGTCAGACCAAGTATGATGCAGTAGTAGGGGGTGCAGGATCACGTTAGGGCTGCCTGGAAGGAAGGACTAAGTAATGGAAGACCCTTGCAGAAGGGGATGTAGGAAAATGCAGCAGACATACTTGGCTTGTTTCAGCATTTTTCCTGAGGGTTGACTGGCTGGCTTTATGTGGGCATCCGGGTAAAAAAGGTAAGGAAACCTAACCTCTTTGTTCTCCCTCCTTTCTATACCTGATGATAGTCTCCTGCTTCTAGGATTAATTTTAGAATCATCAATATTCTTGACCAAAATGGGATGAAAATGGGCTTTGTGATTTACTCTTACAACGTTGAAATTACTCATAATTTGAAGACTCGAGTTTGTGTTAAAAGAAATAGTCACTGTTTTAAAAAGTTATTTTGTGATTTTGGGTTGTAACAACAACCAGCGTTTACTGAATACTTTCTGTGTGCCAAGCACTGTGCTAAGTATGTGCTTCATCTCACTGACTACTCATAATAACCCTTTGAGATCATTACTATAGTTACCTGTGTTTTACCAGTGATGAAAATGAGTCCCAGAGAAATTAACTACCATCCTCAAGGTCAAACAACTAATAAATTGAAGTTGGAATTCTGATTTGACTCCAGAGACCAAACTTAACACAAAATGGTGTGCTGTCTTTTCCTGCTAAAGACAATTACAGTCTTTTCTTGTGACATGTTTTCAATCTGTTGTCATACTTTTGATACCACTAGGTAATTCTTTGTGTATTTGGTCTTAGTGCTTGTTAGTGAGAGAATCGATGTATGTTTGGAATCCCTTGAAAGCTTTTAAAAAATTAAAGCTATAAAATACTATGTTTCCAAATGGTTCTTAAAAAAACTTACAGAATAAATTTAGTTAACTGATTTGAGGTAATTTTTTGGATGTGACAGCTTAGGAACAATCTTTATCTTTTCCTTACATTTAATGAAAGCTTGGTTTTATTAAAATTTTTATAATATATAAGATAATTAAGATGAAATATTAAAATTTCTCCCTTCAATCTCACCTAATCAGTTTATGTGTGTAAAGTATCATACAAAATTAGACTATTGAAATTCTGTGTAATAGGGATTTGTAGTATCAAAAGTAAGATAGATCCCTGCATTTCCCATTGAGATAATACTGCTTCAAAAGAGAGGGACCATTCAGTGTTTACCATATTGGTAAATAAATTGGGTTGTTTTTAACATTTTATTTAAAAAATGTGTTTCAGTCCATCAAACTTTGACTTCTAAAGTAAATGACTGTCCCATATATGTACTTATTTCCTCTCTGGGAAGCTTAAAGTTAGGAACATATGCCATTGTTGGGGAGTAGGTGGAGGAAGGTGGGACAGCACAGGTGGCCGGCCAGTAGTGCTATTTTCAAACTTCTTGTGATGGGATGAGTAATAAGGAGTCTTCTTCATTGAAAATACAGTTACTGATACGTTTTATTTTGTTTCTTTTATTTATATTTGCCAGCAGTTTGTTATTTGTAGAAAAAGTATTGAAATAAATTAGAGGAGGGAAGGGGGTGGAATGTCTGCCTTCCTTGTAGTTAGCATTGCAACTTCCAGGTTGGTACCTGGTTTCCTGGACCTTCCTGATAACCTCTTCCTACCTCCGTCCTCCCTGAGTGCAAATTCTTGGGCAAGATTTATTCCATTGCCTTATTTTTCCTTTTTTTCTCTGCAGATTTACTAAGTTGTGGTAATTGCTGGCTCCCTATGTGTTTTATTTACTGTGTTAACTTTAAGGTATATACATTACATATAGTTTTATGGTATATAGTTGAATATTTAATCTAAGAGTTAAGTAATACAAGTTTAATCAATCTTAGGAGTATAGAAGATGTAAGAAATACTGGTTTGTGTGTGGTAAAAATTTTTAAATAAGTTATTAAGTGATAACTTCCTTCAGTCTTCAGTGGTTAAATGTGGTTTGAATACTGTCTTCCTTGTATTCCCAGTGGGATTTAATTTTGCAATAAGGAAAGTATCCCCATTACTTAAAAATAATGGTTTCAATATTTGCTTATTCTAGTAATCTATTTTCATGTTAATTTAAATTGAGAATTTATGCCTCAAAATTTTTAAAGGAGTAACACTAGCCTAGATAATAATCAAATGTAAATATTTCCAGTTATATGTAAAAATCTAACCTTTTTTCCCTATCTTGCTTTATGTAACTTTTTTGATATGTGGAAAAAAGGAACAGGAGCTAATAACTCAGAGCCAAATGTGCTTTTGTTGCTCCAAATTTTCAATGCCAGAAGCATATAAAACTGCACCTGTTGGTAATTATGAGCAAGCCAGCGTTTGCCAAATCCCAGGCCTCTGCTTAAAACTTTTTACTGGAACTAAATGATGTTGCCATTTTTATTTTTAGGTTTGCTGGCATGGGTAATCTCATTAAGGTGCTAACCAGGGACATAGACCACAATGCAGCACATTTTTTCTTGGACTTTGAAAGTAAGTCTCTTTAGCCCTTCACAGCTGGTGCGTAATGGTAAAGTTGAAAGATTAATTATACTCACACCGCAGTGAAGGCCAGCCAGAATATTTGTGGATAAAACATGGGGATCAAAAGAAAAAGTTGCATGATTTTTTCTTAATCGTAGGCAAACATCACCGTCATATGTATAATTCTTCAGTTTTTCATTTGCTAAAATCATGTTGAGTCTGTAGCCAGTGCTGTCCTTTCATTAGTCCATGAAGCAAGTAGCCTTATGATGAACATTCTAACAGTATACTTTAGTGACTGTGTTCAACAATCTTTTTGCTTTATAATCCTTTAAAAATCAGAATTGTGCTGCCTATCCAGAATCGGTACTTTAAATAATCTCCAAATTATTAATAATCCAGGTTGGTTAGAAATATTGCTATATTTAATGACCATAGGACGTAAGTTTTACATTCTGCTAATTCAAGAGTAAATGCAACGGTGTACTTTGGTCAGAACACTTAATATTTAGCTTTCAAATAAATTGTTGTTTCAGTGCAATATTAAACAAGATTGCATGTGAACAATTCTAGATCAGAGATTTGTTTGGCGAATACTTAACACTATTGGAATACATAAAGAATTTTTCATTATAAGGCCATTAATGGAACTTGTCTTGGGAGAATTTTGAAAAGAATTTGAACAACAGTTGTGCCATTGTGTGCAGGAAAACCACATTTCACCTCTAGGTCCTACAGATCAACACCTTGAGAACCAGGTTTGCTGTCTGCCAGAGCACAGTCTGGGTAACCTGAAGGACGAAATCATGGCCTAATGAACGTTTTCCCATTACTTTTTTTTTTTTTTTAATATATTTCCGATGTTCTTTTTTATAAAGGGATATTTTCTCTTTTCTCATTCTTGTCTTGACAGGTACCTTAACATGGGGAATCTTCTTAAAGTTTTGACATGCACAGACCTTGAGCAGGGGCCAAATTTTTTCCTTGATTTTGAAAGTGAGAAGATGATTTTATATCTATTTCTCTTTGCCTGCAGTAGACTGCGTTTGTCTTGCACTAAATGAATGTGTCCACCTTGCCATCTTTTAACTGCTTTGCATGACTGAGCTATGAATTGTATGAGTAAAATTCCTGATGCCTTCTAGAACTGCAAGTCCTGTTTTATGGATTGAATTGTGATGATAAAATGTCTTTATTTGAATTTTTAGAAGAGATTTTTATATCTCTTAGTTGGGCATTATTTTATAATTAGATCTATTCTCTAATGAAAAGATTTTTATGAAAAAATCTTGGTGGAAGGAGCAAATACTACCTTCATACTTATTAATAGCAATATTTGGGGAAACATTTTATTGCAGTTGAGAAAAATTGACTAGGTTTCAGTTACTCTATACATATTAAAGTGTTTCAAATACAAATCGGTTCATGAAGGCCATTCAAAGCTCAGTAATTTGGGCATAATATTAAAAGGTAAGTGTGAACCTAAATTATTTAATCTTTGCAGATAATTAATTTGAAAAGTTAAAAGAAATTTGTTGTATGTATTTATTTCAGGAATTCATTTTTTAAATTCTAAATAAAAAGAAAAATATTAGGTTCACAGACCTTTAAGTAATTTGCCTTCTGTTTGTTTTATGTTGCATGACCTATTGTAATATGGTCTGAGAGGGGCAGGTAAGTGTCATTGACCCTGGTGCATGTTGAAAGCTTTTGCTTCTATGGCTGTCAATATTGCTTCAGCTTGTCTGTATGTCCAATTGAGAAAAATGATTAAATTGATGTTTTAGTGTGAATGTTGCTATTTTAACTGATCACTAAAAAAAAATTGTTAGGAAAGGGTGAAGAGATAGCATTTAGATTTTTCAATCATGTGATGCCTTACCTTTTTATCTGAGATAGAACATTTGATGAAAAGATTTTTAAATATTTAAGACTTTTTCTAGTTTTAAAAGTTCTGTAAGCCCCCAGAGATTAGTTGCAATTTAGTTTATATGGTGTTATATATATATATAATTCTGTTTTATATTTTATACATCATTTATAGTTTTGTTTTTTTTTCTTTTAAACCAGGACAATTCATATGAACACAGAAACTTATAGCTTATCTCCATTTTACAGAATAATTTGTGGTCTCTGATTTTTTTTTCTAATTTTATTACTTTTCTATAAAAGTTATGTTAAAATTTGTGCAGGCTAGTGAAGAGTAGTAATGTCAGTATGAGGACCATATTAAATTGTTGGGTTTTGGGGGCAAAATGTATTAGCTGAATATTAGTTTTCTTGACCCTTCTCAACAATTTAACAGTGCGACTTTAAGTGCATGTTCAGCATGAATTTTAATCAGCTTGGGGATGTTGAGCAGATTGCTGACTTGAAGATTATTCTTTCAGATGAGGCAACTTACATTAGAGCTGTATGTTAGTTTATTTGCATCTGTTTCAAACTTGGTCTTGTATATCTTTCTGCTGTTCTGTCTCCTTTTTCCTCTTTGTCTCAAATTCCTTACATTTGCAGAATCTTGGCTTTGATATGGTCAAGATCTTGTTCAAGACTTGGCACTTGATCTTTTTATAAACTTGACATTATGTTGTGGTCAAGTGAGAAGCATGAGTTTAATGTAGTATTTAAAAGATTAATGACAGGAAAAAAGTTTAAATTGCTAGCAACAATAAGAAGAACAACTAATAATGAACTACGTAGTGTTAACTTCTCGAAGGCAGGTTTAATTAGAATGATACTTGTCGCCCACGTCAGGCAGTGTACAATTTTTGGTTTGACACTTTAGTGACGACATTGTATTCCAGGCAAGAGTTTACCATTGTTATTTCTTACTTAGATTTAAAAATGTTTTATTCTGAATCTAACACTGAACTTCTCATAATTTTTTTCTCTCAACATTTGCATATTCTTCTTTTGGGAGTGTTTTTGTAAAAATTTACCTTATTGGGCTCTCAAAAAGGACCTTCTTTATATGGTTTGATGCTAGACTCAAAATTGCTAGCACATTGATTTGCCAGTTTCTTGTCGTTACTTAGAATAAGTCACCTTTTTTATTAAATAGGTAATTTAGTACTACATGTTTACTTCTATAGATGCACAGTAATGTTCAGGTCACCAGAATAATTTAGTTTCACTACCTATCATTCTAACTGGTTAAGTCCAGCCCAGTGTGTCTTTGTGGTTGGCCACCTAAAGAAATAAATCCATGTAGCTGTATCTGGCTTATATCAAATTGCATACAAATTATTCCAGTGCATTTGAAACATGATTTAGTGGACTCTTGTTTATGAACTGAAGACTGTCTTTAAATAATTACTCCCTCAGTTTTACCCCCAAGTAGTTTTTCAGTTCAGTTCAGTGTACATTTTTGGCATGCCTTCTGTGTGCTAGCCAGTAGATGGGGTTGCAAAGATAACTAAGATATAACCCTGCCTTTGGGGAGCTATCAGTCTGATAGGATAGAAATGCAAATGAATAATTCATTTACGTAGTTTACGTTCAAAGTATAGATCAAGAAGGATTAGCTTTAACCTAGCAGTAAGTGGATTGGGCTTCATAGAAGATGTTCTCTGACATTTGAGTTGGGTTTTGGAGGGTGAATCAAAATGTTTCATTTTAGGCTAGCTTAGTGAAGGACATTGTAGACAAGAAGCAGCATGTATAAAGGCCTAAGACATGAAATGACACTCAGTGTTCAACGAAACATTGTTCTCTACTCTTGATGTACTAGATAGTGGGATTTTTTTTTCACCTGTATAGAAAAAATGGTTCAATTAAGATATAAGCCCGCCATTGCTTCCATAAAATTTGGCAGTATTTATACTAAAAACAGCCTATAAAAAGCACTGAATAGGGGGGTCTTTATAGTTCTTGGAATGAACTGTAATTTTGTGATGACATTATTGATTTATAGTTCATTCTAATGATAAATCTTTAGCCTGAGAACATACTGTATCTACTAGTTCACGAAATTGTGGTTCTTGGGAGAAGAGGGACTTATACTTTTGTGACCCTTCCCAACCTTGGCATAAAATCAAAAAAACCAAACTCTTTGCCGTCGAGTTGATTCTGACTCATAGCGACCCTATAGAGTAGAACTACCAGATACGGTTTCCAAGGCTGTAATCTTTACGGAAAGGAGTCCTGGTGACATAGTGGCTGCTAACTAAAAAGTCGATGGTTTGAACCCACCAGCCACTCCGTGGGAGAAAGGTGTGGCAGTCCTTGGAAACCCTATGGGGCAGTTCTCCTCTGTCCTGTAGGTCACTATGAGCTGGAATCAACTCGACGGCAGTGGGTTTGGTTTTTTGTAATCTTTACAGAAGCAGACATGCCACTGGTGGGTTTGGACTAGTAGAAGTTCAGTATTTGTTAGTTAAGCTTGGTTTACTCATCTCCAGATAGACCAGAATAGGAGAGGAAATAGGAAGTAGGATCTGCTTTCTCTGATTCGCTACAGTGCCTCCTCGGTGGTCAGGACTCTCCTCTAGTTCTTGTCTTGTGTGTTACCTGTTTCTCCTCATCTTTTAAAAGTTTAGTCTTAATTTGTTTTTCTGTGTTACCTTTCTTGCATATTTTCAATTGCTTTTGCTTTTGCCCTGTACTTTGAACAATCTTTATCTTGGTGGCATTTTTCATATATTTTTTTAAAATGATGTAAGATTATGTTTGTTCAGAGATATTAAAAAAAAAAAAAGTGTAATAGCCTTCTCTAATTTATGCTGAGGGCATATTTATGTCTCTGTACCTTCTCATTCCCTGGGTGCTACAGATGGTTAATTCGCTCCACTGCTAACCAAAAGGTTAGAGGTCGAGTCCATCCAGAGGTGCCTTAGAATAAAGGCCTGGCAGTCTACTTCCAAAAAATCAGCTATTGAAAATGTTATGGAGCACAGTTTTAGTTTGACACACACAGGGTTGTCATGAGTTAGAATTGATTCGACGGCAACTGGTTTTTACCTTCTAATTCATTCGTTTGTTTAGCAAATGTTTATTATAGAAAATCTAAGTCTTGAGTTTACATACTGTACAGTGGTACATATTATACATAGTTCCTGCCTTGATGACATTTATGGAGATAGATCATAAATGTTTACTGAATGAATGAATGCACGATTAAAGTCCCCTTATCAAAATTATGATTTTTATGTTGACTTTTTATTTTTTTCCTTTCATAGCTAACTTTGGTTCATTCTGTACTGTAACTTAAGTTTTGGCGATTTTTTTCAATGACTTTTCCTCTACCCTCCACCCTGTAGGAAACTGGTGTGAAATTATTAAAATATTTAATTTTACTCTCAATTTTAATTTGAGTTTGAATTGAAATAGGCCTTAATTTCCCTCAAACAGCTTTTAAAACTAAGCTTGATGAGTAATTACTATGTCTGCTTCAGTAGTGGAAAACATTTTGTTATCAAATCAGTGTCCTTTGTTAGCTAGTTAAGTAGTACATTTTTCTTCAAATAGTAAAGCCATTCTTTGCTATGAAAAATCAAAGTGACAAGTCTTGGTTACATTATATAATGCCAGTTTTTAAAAATGCTTTATTTTATACATTATTTTTCCTCTCTAGTATTTCACCCTTTTGCATGACTTGCTGTCAGTAAAGTAGTGCTTACCTGTCTGCTCTTTTCTGCTTGTCTTCACTTCTACAGCAGTCTTCAGCAGCTTTCCAAATTCTAAATGTGACTTTCCTGTGACAGTCTAAAAATGTTTAATCAGTGTGGTGCTGGGTGTTTTTCTCACCCTAAGGGGAAGCTTGAATCTTATCCTTATTTAAAATCTATTATTAAATCTATTTAATAATTATTAACCACTTACAAGGTCTTTTTAAGGCTACTTGATAATGTTTTGTTTGTATGTAAGTCTCAGTGTCACATTTTTATGTTAACAGCTGGTCAACCACCCCCAAAAATGCATAGCTTAGTGTTTTCAAGCTTCACAAATACCTTTGGATATGTAACAAGTAGTTAAAATACTGTCCTTTGTCGTGAATCCCACTTCATGACTTCAAACTACAGTATGTGTCTACTATTGATGTTATGTCTGTAATTCCACAATATTATATGAAAAAGTATAAAACTACTTTTTGCATGTAAAAATTTTTTATCTCTACTGCATCTGGTATACGTATAAAACTTAACAAGATACACTGTTTTTAGTGTGTATCTAGCCATTACTTTGGAGAATATAGTCTAGCTAAATGTGGAAATTATTGCTGCTAAGTAACCGTGTTTTTTTTTTTTTTTAAAAATAATCATTTAGCTACAATGTCAGTATTTGCTGCTAGTAAGTACTTTCATAGCTTTGGGCACAGGATGTTTTCAATTTATCAATTGGCTCCTTTTTTAATTTTATCGTAATACATGATTCCTGAAAAGAAGTTTGAAAATAAGTGAACAGATAAATGTGATTACGAATTCTTAAGTTGACTTTGCACATGAGTGTTATGTTATTGTTGCTTTAGTACTGTTTTAGGTATGTTGAATTTTAAATTTGGTACTATATTTGTTGATTTTTAAAAATATGTGGTATATTTTTGACTAGTTGACATGTTTATTAGGTGCAGTTCAATTATGATTTACCCTAAGCACAAAATAAAGTTACAGTTATTAGGCATCTTGACTGAGTTTCACGTATGAACCAAGTTTCTTTTAAATTTTCTAAGTTAAAGGAATAAATATTAGATCATTGTGTATTTGTGGGGAGGTGAGGTGGGTGTAGAAAAGTCTAGGTACTAGTTCTATATAATTGGTGACAAAGATGTTTACCAGAAGCTTTCTTAATTCATATTATAAATTTAGACACCACAAGCCTCCTTTTCTCTTCCCCTTCCTTACCCCGCCAATAAAAAGAAAATTTTAGCATGGAGGAATTCTGCCAGCATAATTACCCCTAAAACCATTATGATACTCATGTAGATCACCTTAAGTGCTTTATGCCTTATATGCAGTGTTTGTGGTTCTAGTTGCAAAGATTTATGGAAAATTCAGTTCCCTTGTGGAGTGCCCATTTATCTCTTAAAAATAAATCAAACGTATTAAATAAAATTTGTCCTTAGAAACAAATGACTGAGCTATTAAAAATGTTCACAAGATTTCTGTTGCTTACCAGAGAAATCCAGATTTAGTCATTCAGTTGGTGAAAATGCCCAGATGTTTGTGTCCCTGATGATGCTTTTTATAATTGTCACTCATTTTTCTCTCACTCCATCCCAAGTGTATATGAACTCCGTTTTTGGTTTAGTGTCTCGGAATTTCAGTGGTAGTATTGTGCTTCAAGCGTACAGTTTGCAGTAGCTCAGTCATTCTGAAGCAGTTTCATAACTGAACTCCTCTGCACAGGCATCCTGAGCTGTGTTCATCAGGGATGTTCATTGATATTGCCCCGAGTTTGGTCTTAGATACTTATATCCTTCCTTCCTTTACCTAGTTTTCTATATTGATGAGCCAAAACTTAAAGTAATCCCTAGAAAAGTAGAACAAGTAATCCCTAGAAAAGTGGAACATCTAAAATCTATTCTTTTAAGACAGTTTTTACATTTTATATCAAAACTCAATGGTGAAAGTAAAATGACCTTTATAGGAAAATAAAGTAGTTTCAGTCTTAAACTATAGATGAGCCAGATATATTACTAGGCCTTTCACTTCTGTTACATTAAAATAATATTATTATTGATGCAGTTCCATTCATTATTAAAGTAGAAAAAAGTGATTATTACGACTGTCACAATTTAAATTTTTAATTATAATTCTCAGTATACAAAGTCATGATTTGTAATTTGAACTAAATAGTCATGTTTGGTGTTCCCTTCTCTGTGATATTTGCAAACTTGAGGCTAGTTACTCAAATGTAGAACTATGGAAAAATTATTGATACAATAAGTGCAAAGTTAACATTGAATAAAATAACTCTTCTGTGGAAATTTAGGTTGTTAATTGCATAGTCTTATACATATATTAAAACAAAATTCATGTCACTGTAAATTTTCTTGTGCTTTCCTGCTGTTTAGATGCCCAGCCTACAGAATCTGAGAAAGAAGTTTATAATCAGGTGAACGTAGTATTAAAAGATGCAGAAGGCATCTTGGAGGACTTACAATCATATAGAGGAGCTGGCCATGAAATACGAGAGGTAAAGTATGTTTACACGTTTTTCAGAAAACTAAAATTTACTGTGTCCCTCTTTACTTTTTGTTGTTTTCTATACTTTAAAATTACCTATTGCATATTACAGAATAACTACATTTGAAGGAAGATTGCTTACATTATTTCAAATGTAGTTGAAATAAGAGTAAAACAGTTGTTCCATAAGTACATAATTTATTTATATTAAAGAAATTTAATTTTTTATTGTTCTCACATGTGAAATTTATAATATCTGTGAACCAGGGGACTATTAATGCTGTTTTTTGAGGGAGTATAACTTTCTGTGGCTTTGCTCTATCAATCTGTTTTTTCCACTCCTAAACTTGCTAGGAGAAATTTAAATGTTAAATATGCTCTCCCTCAATTTTCCTTTTCTAAACCTCTGAACTTTTCCAGGTTTCCATCCATTTCTTTTTCCTTCTTTTTTTTCCCCCCAAAAGAATCTGTGTCCCTACTTTTTTCCCAGGACTAACTGTGTACTTTTGTTCTCCATCCTTTTCTGGAACTTTATTCTTTTAATTATTCCCCCGCTTAATCAAATCTTTTCTCTCTCTTCTCTTTTATTGACTTCTTCTCTTCAGCATATTCATACCAGGTGTTCTGTACTACGCAAAGAAACTCCCTAGTCTCTGGACCTTATCTCTGTCCGAGGCATAGCCTTTGTTTCTTCATTGTTTTTCAGCCTCTGATTCCATTACTCTCTTTAATAGTGCAGAGGTTATCAAGGACCTATCTGTTGAGCTTAGGGTCCAAGTCCAACCTGATTTCTCATTTGGAGGAATGGTGAAGGCAGAGTAAAGCGCAGGTTCTTTAAGATGGCAATCTGGGATCTATTTCAGACCGAAAAGCCACAGTTTTTAGTGATTGGATGTTAGTGTAAGGGAGAAACCAGTAACCAGTTACCTTCAAGTTGATTCTGAGTCTTTTGGAAGTAGATCCCCAGGCGTTTCTTCTGAGCTACCTTTGGGTGCACTGAATCCTCCAATCATTTGGTTAGTGGCCAACTGTGTTAACCATTTGTACTATCCAAGGACTACAGTGTAAAGAAGAAGGGGAAGGGGGCCAAACAGTTCCATAGCTTTTAGCAAATGGTGATAAACTGAGGGAAATGGTAAATAACGTGAGTTCTACTTCTTACCTATCCTGCACTGGACTGCTTGTTCCCTGAATGTCTTGCACACACACACTTCCTTGCCTGTGTTTTTGTTTGGATGCCCTTCCTTTTTTCTCTTTCTCCTGAATTCCTAGCCTTCCTTTGAGCCCAAAAGTCTTCTACTTCCCCTTACTCTTTTGCTCTAGCACTTAATGTTTCTTTTATGGTAACAATCACCTTTTTTTTTTTTTTTAACCATTGACATTTTATGTTTATCTCTCCACCACTGTGTTTGAGGAGGGTAAACTTGGTTTCATACTTAAATTTTATATTATCAGCACCTAGCACAGTGCTTAGTAAACAGTTAATGACTGTTGAAGAAATGAATACAAGAGTTTTAGACCAATCTTGGCAATATCATTAGCTTAAGTAAAACCTTAAGATTTCCATAATAAATAAATACAGGCACATAACTGTTTGTGTGAAACTCAGGTCCTCTAAACATTTAAACATATTTCAGAAAACCAAATTTATTTCTGGAAGTGCAAGATTTAAATGATTAAATGTTTGGTGGTATCTCTTTGTTGATTATTATTGCTAGAAATTAACTTATAATCATTTATCAGTTTTTTGCCATTACACTTTTTTAGTTTTACAGTTGTTACCAACTGGTTGCAATTGTCTTGCATAAACAGTAAAGAAAAAAAATAGTCTCATTCACTTTAGAGATAGACTATCAATTATTTAAGGTGTTTTTTTTTTCTTTTTTAAGCTGAGCATTCTTAGTGGTTTTTTTTGTAATTGCAACACTGGAAAAATAATTTGTCCAAATGGAAGGGTTATTTCCGTAGAAAAAAGCACTACAATAAAACATAGTGTTTTCCCCAAAATCTCTATGTAAACCTAATTGAGTGCATATTAAGATTCAGGTATCGTCTTTAGAAAGGATCCCTAGTGCCACAGTGGTTAAAGTGCTCAGCTGATAACCGAAAGGTTGGTGGTTAAAACCCACTGGCCACTCCCTGGGAAAAGTTCTTTCTGTCCTGATGGTTCACAACAACATAATCTTTAGAAGAGAGTAAAATGATAGAAAAAAAGCGGTGGTTTAAGGTACTCACCTTACCAGGCTTTGAAACTTACAAAGGTACTATAAACTTTTTGATAAAGGAACTGTGACAGAGAAATAAGTAAATAGAATAGATATAAAATACATAAGCTAGAAAACTTAAAAAAAAATTTAAATCTACTGTAAATGGAGCATAAGTGTGTGACTTGAAGCAGTGAAGAACTTTTCATTGAGACATATATATGATGTTTGGGTTTAACTAAATGGAAAAGCTATCTGAATAGTAGAAAATTTAAAGTAAGAAAGGAGTATACAAATAAAAGCTGAATGTATACAGTCTTAGGCCGATTTCTCTAGAGAAGCAAATCCAGTAAAGCATATAAATATATGTAGAGACAGATTTATATCAAAGAAACAGCTCACGTGATGTAGAGGCTGGAACGTCCCAAGTCCGTGGATTAGGATAGAGGCTTCTCCCAATTCATGTAGCCGCGGGGTCTGGCTAACCCAAGATCGGTAGGTTGGAAAGCAGGACTCTGCTCACAGGCAATGAAGATTGACGAATCCCAGGATTGTCAGATAAGCTGCTAGCTGAAGTCCCAAGAACTGGAGGTCAGACAAGCAGGAGGCATCCGCAGGATCCAGAGTGAGCAAAAAGCCAGAACATGTGCTTATATTCAGATGCAGGCCACACACCCGAGGAAACTCCCTTTCAACTGATTGGCTCCTCACAGCATATTCAGTCATGGGAGTGATCACATATAAACACTGAGAATCATGGCCTAGCCAAGTTGGCACACAATCTTAACCATCACGTATACCAAATAACACAAAGAACCGATAAAACTATCATGACTGTCTTAGGTCAATATTAAGACTTACTATACTTAGAACAACCAGCCTTTTACCTATGAAAAAGCAGAAACAATGGAAAACAATCTTGAGTTTTGCTAATAAGTACACATGACTGTCAGGATGTTTTACTGCATACAGCAATAAATTGTTAAAACTCAGTCAGTATTTGGTTAGTTTATGAAGAAACAGGTAATCTTAAGCAATGCAGGTGGTGGTGTAAAATAGTCGTCTTTTTGGAGATTCGTTTGGCAGTGTGGAAAGTAAGAACTATAACATTTATTTGTACACTTTCCAGGTACTTATATTTTAGAAAATACATTCCAAGAGACTGATTCAAAATGAAAAAGAATATGTAAAAACCTTTATGGCCACCTTATTTGTAGTTGCAAAAATGTGGAAACAATTCATAGAGTTGTTGTGAGGATAGAATTAGATAATCCATGTAAACTGCACTGCACAGTGCCTGGCACACAGCTTGCATAAACTGAGTTACCTATTATGCTAATAATGTGGAAATAGACATATGTATTTATTTAAACAACATTGTTTAAATGAGTACATATATAAGGATTATTAAACATAATTCTAAAATAGAATAAAATTTGATTTAAGATAGAGTCTAAGAAATAAAAACCATCAAACCAAACTTGTTGCCATTGAGGTGATTCCAAAGAAAGTTCCAAAAAGCAAAACTTGAATTGCCGAGCACCAAGCACTATAGTGAATCCACAGGAATGAAGTGATTTGTAAGCATACCCTGCTGTAGGTCCCCCATTTCACAGGTCTTCAGTCTCTCTCCAGCACTTGTTTTCAGCATTGTTTACCTTCTTGTCTTGTCATTATTCCCTAAACAATGAAGTACTGTATGACAACTATTTACATAGCATTTACATTGTATTAGGCATCATAAGTAATCTAGAGATGATTTAAAATATGCCGGAGGATGTGTGTCGATTATGTACAAATAGTACACCATTTTATTTAAGGGACTTGAGCATCCGTGGATCTAATCCATGGGGGTTCCTGGAACCAGTCCCCCTCGGATACCGAGGGAGGACTGTTCAGAACATCCTCTAGATCAGTCTAGGTTCAACTTTGTTTTGCTTTCTTGTTTTTGTTTTTGTGTTGATGGAGTCAGAGTCCTAGTGCCTTGGGAAAATCTAAACATGCAGATACCTTCTGATAATGTTTATAAGCAAGTCTCTGCCTTGGTTATGAGTTTTTACTTTCAGATGATATGTTTAGTTTGTATGAAGATGTTAGAGAAAGTAAACCAAGTTGTTGAAAAAAGCATTACATTCCATAAAGGATCAAGTAAAGCACCTATGGACAAAAGGAAGATGTAAGCAAGAAAACATATTTCTTTGAGAATAACCCTCTGTACTTTGAAAGGATTGCCTGATGGTTTGAAAGACATAGAAAAAGGCATATTCATGTTTATAATTAAGGACCTCTAGATTATTGTGCCTTATTTTCTCCCCTTTCAGATTTGAAACTAGTTTTTCATCTTCCTTTTTGGGAAAGTCTAAGAAAACTTGGAATCCAGAGTAGGATTTTAGTTACAGAGAATAAGTATCTATGTAACTGTTAGCCAACTTCTAATCCATGTTTTTCAGGTTGGTTTAGGTTTTTAAGTGTTTAGTAGGTTTCTTAGAACTAATTTGGATCTTGGACTTTGAATTTGAAAGTTTCTTGGCCCTCCCAGATTTGGCACCTTATTTCATTTATTGTTTTATCTTTTTGGTTTCCTTTTTTTTTTTTTTTTTTAAGGGAATATACAGTTTATTTAACATTCAGATTTCATTAAAATGTGCAGTATGGCAGTTTTAAAACCAAAAAACCAAACCCATTGCCACAGAGTTGATTCTGACTCAGTGATCTTATAGGACAGAGTAGCACTGTCTCATAGGGTTTCCAAGGTGCATTCAAACTGCTGGCCTTTTTGTGTATCTAAAAGACAACTATATATTGTGTCCTTATTTTTTTCACTTGATACCCATATCCATTGCAAGGATAACTAAGAATGTATTAAACAGTGAAACCTGTGAGAGGCGGAACTCGATGGGACTGCCTTGGTTTTCTGGGTCTCGCCTGTTTTCCACCTTTCGCAGGGTTCATTCGTCCTTTTCTGTAGCTCTCTGTTTAGTGGAAAATATTTGAGTTTTTCTTTTCTGACAGGTTTCTGCCTTAACATAAGTTCCAGCTTTCACAGGTTTTACTGTAATAAGTTTAACATATCTGTAGAGTTGAAAAGGACCCATTCTTGGGTCCTGTACTCTGTATTTTATTGATTATAGCAGGGCTTCTTATGTTTGCTGAAACCTATATCTTAATGCGAAAATGATACTGTTGTTATTTTTCAAAATCTAACCCTTTTTATCTTTGGGTTTTTAAGGCAATCCAGCATCCAGCAGATGATAAGTTACAAGAGAAGGCATGGGGTGCAGTTGTTCCACTAGTAGGCAAATTAAAGAAATTTTATGAATTTTCTCAGCGGTTAGGTAAGTTGAAAGTGCTTTAACTATGACTTCCCTAGTGAAAAGACATTAATTAACAACAGAAGTTATTTAGAATATTTTATGTTCACCTTGCTAGATTTGACTGAATGTTATCTAAGTAAACTTGTTTATAGACTATAAATACAGCTTAACTTTCTTATCTTCAATCCTGATCTTTTGTTTATTTAGAGTGTTTTTCGTGACAAATTATAATTTCCATAAGGAAATCTCTTTGATTTTTTTGCATGCTAAAAGGTCCTAGTATGAGAAGCAACTGGTACAGTTTCTCTACAGCTCTCCATCAGGTCCTCTTCCATTCAGGGGAACTAATCTTCAGGCCCCTGGGGTTATTTAAATTTTTGTGTTCTTAAAATCAGTGCTGATTAGATTGGTTCCTGTATCTGAAACTGGAATATTAAGACTAGGAGGCTGATGATATACCCAAAGTTATTCAGGGAATTATTAAAATAGAAACAATTTCAACAACAATTTGCCTTTTCTTTTATGTGGGAAAAATTATTTAGAGGTCAGAATTTGTTCAATACAAGGAATAAATAAAAATGGAATTCCCTTTCTTGGAAAAGGAGGAGGTAGAGCAGGTAGGATCTGGCCATTTGGCTGCTTGTATAATTTGAAAGACATAAATTTGAAGGACTTTACTTTATAGAGCCCTGGTGGCACAGTGGTTTCAGAATTTGGCTGCTAATCAAAAGATTGGCAGTTCAAATCTACCAGCTTCTCCTTGGAAATCCTGTGGGGCAGTTCTACTCTGTCTTACAGGGTTGCTATGAGTTGGAATCGACTCTATGGCAGTGGGTTGGTTTTACTTTGTGAAGCTGTTGATACAGACAGGGAGGGGCACATTATGGATGTCTTCAGAAATTTGAAACATTTAAATTCAGTTAAGTTCTTAACATGCTTTTATGTAGTTGTGATTTTTGAATTGTATAAACCTGTTACATAATGTAAATAAATATATAAAAATTTAATGAACTATACTGCAAAATAGAAGTCATGTTGGAGGCCTGTAAGCCAAATTTAGGCCTGAGGTGTGATTTGTTTGGCCCACATAGATTTAAAAAATTTCTGGTAAAAGTCGGCAGCCTCTTTGGAAAAATTAATAGCTTTGGCAACAGTTATCTGCATTTCAGTTGGCCGTGTCTGTTTCATAATTAGAGCTGATAACAGTTGATCCCCACCACTGCCTATTTTCTTATATCTTGCTCTCCTTATTGCTTTATATTACCTAGTTGGTCATTTGTGTTTGCAACCTCTGCTTTAAGGTTGAAATTGACATCCTGAAGTGTTCCATTTTTGAAAAAATGCCTATGTTTCAAAATAGTAAGTGAATTGCCAGTTTTCCTTTAGACTGCAGTACAGACTGTTAAATGTAATGTTAAAACCAATCATGGTTGGCATAGAAGTGCTTGTATAAATTATCCTTTTCTTAACAGAAATAAGAATTGTAGTTTATTCTTCCAGTTCTTTTATATTATTTCACTGGAACTTCAGTCAACCTAAATCTCTTAATATTGTTTATCTTGACTGCTGCATACTTAGAGTTTTTCTTATGCTGCTAGTTCCTAGCTGTACTTGAAGTTAAATTGCTTTTCATGACATTCAGGTCCCACTCAAGCTCCTACTAGTCTCTTAGTATAGCCAGTGTAAAAAGAATAATTGTAAAATAGGAAAACAAGTTAGGCTTAAAGATTTCTTGTAGTTGAACTATTGGAATTAATTGAGCTAGTGGTGTATGTCCCATCAAGGGTGCTGTGCTTCATTTCAGCAGAGGGATATAGTAACAGAGGTAATAGCAAAAAACTGCCAGTTTTCATTCTGTCACTTGGGAGCGTTGAAGCTTCATAATTGTGCTAGGGGCTTCAGGTTATGAGCTGAGTACAAAATAAGAGATGGTAAATTACCCCTCATCTCTTGGCCAGTCGCCTGGTTAAATGTTGCCAGTTTCCTTGCTGACAAGTGAGAGCTGCTTGCATATGGTAAAAGACTCAATGTTTGTTGAATGAACGAGTGAGTGAAGGGTTAATTGGTATATCAGATATGTGCTGGTGTAGTGCAGTGGATCACTTTTATATGGCCTTTCTTGCCATGATCTTATAACTGCCACCAAATGATTGGGTGGGACTATGCAGATAAGGTGCTTGTGACCCACAAAGGGGATTGGACAGCTTGCTAATAATGCAAATAACGTGCATGGCACCCTTGGAGGGGGTGTGAGATCGATGCAGATAAGGTGTTTGGAACTGTTAACGAGGAGATTGGTCAGTTTTGCCATTCTGCTAGGATTAAGATGAGCCATCCCAGAGGTGGAAAAAGGAGACCTCAATACCACCAGGAAGGAAGAGCTAGGAGTAAAGCGTGTCCTTTGGACTCAAGATCCTGCACTAACACCCTCCTAGACCCAGGAGACAGAGAGCTTTAACACCACAGATCGCGAGAGACGGCAAGAAGTGGCGGCAGCAGAACCAGGAGACTGGCAGGAGACGGTGTGGTGGGCTTTCTGGCCCACTGAGCCAAAGAGATGAGCACCTTCAGGCAGGAGGCTTGCTGGTGGAGTGGGATGCCCCTGGGCACTTGTTGGTGGAGCGAGGTTTGCTGGTGGAGTGGGATGCCTCTGGGCACTTGTTGGTGGAGCTAGGCTTGCTGATCTCTTGCTAGAGAGCTGAATGCCTTGGGCTGAGACTAGTGGAGTGGTTTGCCTCTGGGCACGTATCGGTGGAGCTAACAAGCTTTGTAACACTTGCCCAAAGCAAGGCAGAGGCTGGGCCAAGGGCCAGAGAAAGAGAGGCCTGCCTGCGGGAATGGCTGAGAAGAGCTGTCCTGATGAAGAACTGTATCCTGAGTCATTTCTGATCTTGAATTGTAACCTGTTACTTCCCTAATAAACCCCATAATTGTGAATATTGTCTGTGAATTCTGTGTGGCCATTGCAACGAGTTATTGAACCCAGCAGAGAAGTAAAGAGTGCCATGGGAGGGACAGCTGGTGTCAGAACTGGTAAAATGGTTAGAGAGGGGGAGGTATGTCTGACTTCTGCTTCTTAGAAATCAGCCTTCGGCTGCTGATCTTGATTCTCCTTCCCCTTTGTAAAGTTAGAGGAGGTCAGACGCCCCTACCCTGCCACCATTTTTACAGCTAAGTGTTTAGGAGAAGCTGTAATGAGGATTTTAGACACCGGAAGCATGTAGGCCTATGTTTGAATCCTGGAGTTTGCCACTTGTCGTGTGTTGTTGATCGCATCACTTCTCTCAGTTTCAGTATCTTGTCTGGACTGCCAGTCTGTTAAGCTTTCTACTTGGTATCCACTAAAACTCTTTTGTTGCTTCTCTTCTTACTTTTGAGCCAAAGATGAGAAACAACCACAACAGCACATGGAGCACCGCACAACTATCAGGATGCATACAGTCCTTCAGAATCTTGGCCCACCCCAAGGAGAGGGTTGCTTGGGCTGAGCGCTGCCCATATACCATGGGTTGTACTTCAGAAAAGGGACCCTAATCCCTTGACGTTTTGCACACTTGTAGTGGATCAGACGAGGATCACCTGACTAATTTGGAAGATAACTGAGCTTTACTGACAGGGTTTAACCTTGCCAGCCTGGGAAATATCCTGTACTTGTTTATTGGAGCCTGAGGCCTTGGAATCTTTCCTGCTCAGCCCACTACCTGCAGGAGAGTTGTGGTCAGACAGACTGCTTTGTCTGTCTTAAGTCTCCCTCTTGCCCCAGGGGCTCATTATAGGGACCACTTCCAAGATCATGAGTGAGTCCATCAAACATGTTGACTTCACTGAGCTAATATCAAATTCTATTCAGAAGGTCTGAAACTGCTCATCATAACTGTGATCATGTCTCTTGGCTGTAAGTAACACCAGTCCTGAATCCCAAAACAGAACTTTTTTTTTCTTACTAAGGTGGGTAATACTTAATAGGTCTCTTATGTCTATAAACCAAAGAATATCTGTGGTTATCACCATTCCTTCCCTCCACACCTCCTACCCCCTACCCCCAGTACACATATACAGTACACAGGGGCTAGAGCTAATGGACACTGGTACTTTTGGGGCTGGGGCTGGGGCAGGGGGGAAAGATACCAGGCTGCAGTCACAGGAGACTCAAGTCAGGAGTTAGGGATATACCCAGATTAGGATCAACTCACAAGACAAGCTCGGGCTGCAAGAGTTCTTTCCAAAAGTCTTATTTCAGTACTGCCAAAGTGTGTTGCTGTGTATCAGACCACCCCAATACATAGTGACTGAAAGCAACAATTTTATTATTTCTTACTGTTTTCTGGGTTGATGTGGCTCAGCCATTTGATTGTTCTGCTCCATGTGATAATGGTTGGGACAGTAGTCATCCAGGGGCTCAGTTGGGCTGGAACATCCAAGATGACTCATGTCTGTGACTAGCAGTTGATGCCAGCTGTTGGCTGGGAACTCAGCTGTGGCTGTTGTCAACCAGAGCACCTTCATGTGGCCTCTCAGTGTGGCTTGGACTTCTCATGGTGTGGGCACTGAGTTGTAGGAGGGAGAGTCCCAGAGCAGTTGGTCCAAGAGGAGAACGTGGAAGCCCCGGTCCTCTCAAAGGCTAGACTTGGAACTAGCACAGTGTTGTCACTTCTGCCACACTGTATTGGTCAGGCTCATTGAGGGCTTCAGCCACTTCTGGACAGGAGTCCTGCAACTACCAGTCATTAACCATACCAACTCAGCCAAGTGATCTCACTCCACCTCTGCTTACAGAAGGCTGGGTAACATGCTGCTTTATTTGAGAGCTTATTATGGTGGAAAGAATAGGGCTTTGGAGTCAGAATCACATGGGCACTTACTATCACCTTGGGCTCTAACTTCTGAAACTCAGGTTATCCATCTGTGAAATGAAGTTAATGCCCACATGACAGTTGATAGTGAAAGTTAAATTGGAGACAACATCAAGTGCACCGTACGGATGTTGATTAGCGCTTCATAAATAGCAGAGCTAGTTTTTTTTTTTTTTTTAAGTTAAGTGTTGATGATCTGGCATTTATTAATATTGGATCATCTTTCAACGCTAAGCTTTTGTTTTCTCTGGATAGAATCTAGCATTGTTTTCTGAGTCTGTGATCTGTAACTGAATTAGTTTAATTTCTGATTTTTTTATAGAGAAATATTAGTATTTCCAGTTTCTGACACAGCAGTTATTAGTCTGGCATTCCAAAAGTAGGACTTATTTCAAAGGACCTGTTTTGCTTAGCTAATGAATTAGAATATTTATATTACGGTGCTAAGATGCCAACGTCTGAGATACTTAGGAAGCTTATTATTAAACCAAATACTTTGTTCGCTTTAATAGCTGAAGGAAAAGTTTGTGCGTATAAATAAATGGCATATTCAGAGTATGAGAAGTTAGTAATTTGATCATAGCCATGTACAGGTTTGACTATACGGACACAGTGCCATTGTAGAAGGTACCAAGTTTTAACTAACAGTTGGTATTTCATAAAACCAAATTGCACACTGTGAGGATGATGAAAGTAATTAGGAAATTTACTCTTGGTCTTGGTTATTAAATTTATGGTCTCCATTATTTTAAACTTGAACTTACAGAATTATAAAAATTGAATTAGTTCCTTTATTTTATTAAATAGTATTCAGCTTGTGTGCATGTAATACATTAGCGATGGCAGAGTTTTGATTCTGTCATATATATATTGTATATTTAGGTAATCTGGATTTTAAAGAGACCTTACTTTTATGGGAATTAAGATCACAACATTCATGGAATGTTTACTTCTTAGTAAACAAATATTATAGAGAAACACAAACAACTTAACATTTTTTATCTTATTTTCCTTAGAAGCAGCATTAAGAGGTCTTCTGGGAGCCTTGACAAGCACCCCATATTCTCCTACCCAGCACCTAGAGCGAGAGCAGGCTCTTGCTAAACAGTTTGCAGAAATTCTTCATTTCACACTCCGGTTTGATGAGCTCAAGGTAGAATTTTCTGATGGTCCTCAGATTGCTAGGGAAGTCACGAGTCTTTAAACAGACACTGGAATGAAATGCCTGGAGACCTTGTTAAAATGTGTTTAAGTGATGTCTACTGGACCTTAACAAAGACAGAAAACTCGATTTTGAAATTATGGCAGGTCTTTTGATATATATTATATGATAAATGGCAAATCACCTCAATATTCAGTCTTCTTTTAAGTTTATTGTGAAAATTGTCTCTGAAACGACAGTATTAACATTCTTTTCCAGTTGTTTTCTGCTCATCCTATTTTTTTAAACTTCTTCCCATAAAAATGTTGTTAAAATATTTTTTTATTTAAGCTAGAATATCCTCTTGTTAGAAGTAGTGAGTATAATGGAATAAGCGATAAATTTGGTATCAGGAGACCTGAGTTCAAGCTTAGGGCTCTCTCAGTGATCAACTGTGAGACCTTGGGCAGGTCCTTGGACTTTCCAGGGGTTCAGTTACCTCATCTAGAAAGTGGCAGAGTTGGATTCTAACTCTAACATTTTGTGATTGTATCATTGACATCTGTTGATTCTCTTTTATAAATACTTTGTACAGACGATTTGCATATAAAATTTTAGTTCTTTTGAGGATTGTCCTGCTGACAAAATAGACATTTTATTGTAATAATCTAAAACAAGTGCTTACACGTTCCTTTTGTTTTGTTTTTTTTTTGGTAGTTTTTTTGGGGGGTAAATAATCTTTTTATTGTATTACCTGTAATTAGTGAAATGAAAAGGAGAGTACGCTGACCATGACTGAGAAACAGTCTGCATAGTTTTATATATTCAGTGAGGACTAAGCACGGTGTTACATCATTTAAGTGCTAAATGCTGTCTTGAGTGAGAGATACCAGTTTAGTTCTTACACTGGTGTTACAAGTTAGGGAACGTTGTACAGCTAGTTAAAACTGTGTTTGATAGAATTTTCACTTAATGTTTACATTAACATCTAGTATTTAATGCATTTTTCTCTCATAAATGTCTTCTTTAGATGACAAATCCTGCTATACAGAATGATTTCAGCTATTATAGAAGAACATTGAGTCGTATGAGGATTAACAATGTTCCAGTAAGTTACAGCTTTGAATTAGGGGGTGGAAAGAATCACCCAACTCTGAATTTTTTAGTTTATTCTTGTATTCCATTTATTCATTCAAATAAATGTAAAAGTAATTATGAGCAACCATAGCTGGTTAGGAGGGGAGAACAAAACACAGCAAATCATATGGTATTTACATATTTTCTTGAGTCTCTTAAATTCTTGTAAGTCCATCAGTAAAGTTGCTTTTTAGTATATATAACATTGATACTTATAAAATTTCTCTACGTATGCTCATGTTAATTTCATGAAAATTTTGTGAATTCGTGGTTATGGGTTTTTTTGTCTCCATGTTCTTAGAGTGGATGAATCCTAGAAAGAATTCTCCTGTCTGGTAATATCCTGTCTCTTCTTTCTGGGATAGAAGAAATACTAATGTCACTAAGAGAGGAGAGAGAAGTTGTGAACTCTAGCACACCCATACCTTACATAGCTGTTTGAGAAAACGGCTTCCATGCCTATCGCTTGGCTCACATCTCTTCTGGTTTCTTTAGGCCTGTTAACCTCTTGACTTCCTCTTTTTTTTTTTTTTTTTTAACCTCCAAAGAGTTCAG